CGTCACCTTGGAGATGAGAAAAGACGTTAGTTTAATGTGCGCTATACTTGAGGATAGCAACAATTGAAACTGGCACGTCACCTTGGAGATGAGAAAAGACGTTAGTTTAATGTGCGCTATACTTGAGGATAGCAACAATTGAAACTGGCACGTCACCTTGGAGATGAGAAAAGACGTTTGTTTAATGTGCGCTATACTTGAGGGTAGAAACAGTTGAAACTGACACGTCACCTTAGAGATGAGAAAAGACATTGTTTGTCGCAGTTTTCTGGTGTAGAAAGATAAATGAGTTTTTTGATACACATTTTGGGTTATATGTGACTAGAAATTGAAGAAATTTCGCCCTCTGGTGGTTCAGCGGTAAATCTGTGGGATTATTATGATAAAAGTCAGGTTTCGATTCCCATGGTGGACACAGTACAGATGGCCTACTCTGTATATTTTTGCTTAATAACAAATAAGAGAGAGAGAGAGATTTCATCGGCTTGTTTTTATATCCGTAGTACTTATAAGTATCAACATATAACATTCGATACAGTTTTGAGTTAATATTACATATTTTGGCCAGTGATAGTTTCGTTTAGTTGAAGTTTTATAAAAATTAATATTTCTGGTTTGAAGCCCTTAAGCTGTATTTCCTGAAGTCTGTAAATATTTGGTGATTTCTTAACAGCGGGCTAGCTTTGTAAGTTTTTACTTATTGACAGATGTTGTGCTTGAATTGAGTGGAATAATATATTTTTCGATTTGATAATCACTTACGTTTTTTTTGTATTTTGGCTGACCCCCAGTAAATATGTTTTAAAGATCAGTATGTCACAGTCTGTGATCGAACGCCCGCGAAGGCAACCTTTACAACTCTCGCCTGTCCATCTCGACAAGTTTCAACTTTATCCTGAGAAAGACATCGAAACATCTTCGGCACGTGGGAGTACCGGTCACGCCCTCTCTCGGATACCTGAAATTAACATCCATGGTCGTAAATATCTTTCGGATCTGCCAAACTTTGGAGAGTGTACATCTTACGAAGGTGAGAGCAAAACGCCACCATCAGAGTGTTGCAATTAAAGCATCACAACGAGATTTATTTCTATTAATATCAAATTTACAGTACTTGTATACATTACGATAAGATGAATATGTGTTACACATGGGGGTTGACAAGCGGCGGATCGGTGTATACATTCATTCTTGTTGGGTCCGCTTTATAAAGGTCTCACTAACTCCCTCCCCACCCCATCAAAAAAAGAAAAGAAAAAAAAACGTTCAACTCATTTAAACTGTGATATATATACATCTAATGATGACAAAGAAATCCTAGCTTGATTAGGCTTATAAGTTTTTTTCCACTGTCTTCATAGTTTAATGCACTCGCTATAAGAATGCTGTGAAGTGACATTAGAACCAGTAGTGTTTTAATATTTTGTTAGTTGCCAAGTGCGAAACTGTATGTAAAATATATCCCAAACTCCAGCAGTAACAAGTGTAATTGATTGTAATATTTTTGTTTACATTTTTTCTGCGACTCGTTGAGGACATTGTATGCAACAAAATCATGGACCACAATTAATTTGGTTCTTGGACAGTTTATAAATATGGACCCAATCAGTAAGTTAGTGTGACTCTCATTTGTTATCTTTATCTTTATTGTCATATACAATTTTTTTCCCCCATAAATTTACAGTTCTAAACAACCCCAAACATTTCAACCGCTTACGGATTGTCAACCAAGAGGTAACGATGAAAACTAGAAGTCTACCATTGTGGGGTCGTTCGAGGCAAACGTCCGATGATGATGGCCATAGTGAGCTGTTTTCAGGAGTAAGTAGACCTTAGTCTTAGAGTGCCCTCTACTTAAACTTAGATAAGGTTTGGGAACATGCAAAATATTAAGAGCAACG